TAAATATTACCAGCTTGTCACATAAGGTGAGCCGAACACCGATGATATTTATTAAAATTTAATGTGAAATTTAGTTTTAATATGTCAAAGTCTAGCCTTTTTTTGTCAAAATTAATAATCGACAACGTCGCACAAAATATAATGGGAACTAAGACGGTCATGGTGAGGTATAAAGATAATGATAAAATAATACCACTAATTTTAAAACATGACTTAAGGGAATGCATAATAGCCTAATATAAAATAACGCCATCTAGTTACAAATATTCAAAAAAAATTCATACCTATGAATTCTAATTTGAGACCGCTACACACGTAATCCAGAAGTCGTCGTGGCCCACAGGATAAGGACGTCCGGTGCATTTGTGTCGAGCGATGTAACGGTGTGCGAATCCCGCAGGCGGGTACCAATTCTTCTAATGAAATACGTACTTAACATATGTTCACGATTGCCTTCCACAGTGAAGGAACAACATCGTGTAATAAAAATCAAACCCGCAAAATTATAATTTGCGTAATTACTGGGGGTAGGATCTCTTGTGAGCCCGCACGGGTAGGTAGGTACCACCACTCTGCCAATTTCTGCCGTGAAGCAGTAATGCGTTTCGGTTTGAAGGGTGGAGCAGCCGTTGTAACTATATCTGAGACCTTAGAACTTATATCTCAAGGTGGGAGGCGCATTTACGTTGTAGATATCTATGGGATCCGGTAACCTCTTAACACCAGGTGGGCTGTGAGCTCGTCAATCCATATATGCAGTAAATAAATAAATAAAACTGGGACAATATAAAATTACCGCCAAAAAGAAGTAAAAAATTATGACCATAATTCAATAAATTAAATAACTCATAAATAAGTCAGCATATTCAAAAGCGAGCTTTTTGGAACGAAGTACCAAGGACGTTTTTTCCCGGAGGGAACCAAGAGGAGGAACCAAGGACGTTTTTGCCCGGAGGGGTACCCTAACCAAATCCTAACCTAACCGGGAAAAAACGTCCGTAACGTAAGATTTTTATTAGTAATAGTAATACACACAGTGTACGACTTAACTTTGTAATAACGTACAAAAAATAACATCTTTTTTTAGCATTCATTGACCACGATCTCAGAGCGTTCGTTTGCGCAATACACTAACTCTTATGCAAACAACTGTGAATGAAGTGTACCACAATAAGTTCGCACGTTACCGAATGACCGTGGGTTGTTGCGAAACCTCCAGTTTTATTTTCTTTATACCTCGAATAGAACTTAAAATTAATATTTTTAAAATAAGGAACTTCGTTCCTATCCGATGTCCCACGACACCATACAACTTTTTTTCCTACCTATTCTAGTAACCTCGAGGGGTTATTCTAGATTCGCCGAATTAGGGTATTGTAATGTCGCCGTCTTCACTCACTTTCGCCTCCAAAAAATGTTGAGTGGTGAAGGGCAACAGCCCACAAAAACTTCCAAACGTCGGGGGTCCCGATCAGGTGGCGCGCCGCCTCTACATGGGGGTGGTGCGGTCGATGGCACTATATGGGGCTCCCGTATGGTGCCACGCCCTGACCCGCAAGAACGTCGCGGCGCTGCGACGTCCGCAGCGCGCGATCGCGGTCAGGGCGATCCGAGGATACCGCACCGTCTCCTTCGAGGCGGCGTGCTTGCTCGCCGGGGCGCCACCCCGGGACCTGGAGGCGGAGGCGCTCGCTGCCGATTACAGGTGGCGTAGCGACCTCCGATCTAGGGAGGAAGGGCGCCCCGGCGAAGGTGTAGTTCGAGCGCGGAGGCTCCACTCTCGGCGGTCCGTGCTGGAGGCGTGGTCTCGCCGCTTGGCGGACCCGTCGGCTGGCCTCCGAACCGTCGAGGCGGTCCGCCCGGTTCTCGCGGACTGGGTGGGCCGCGACCGCGGATGCCTCACCTTCCGGCTAACGCAGATGCTTACCGGCCATGGTTGTTTCGGCCGGTACTTGCACAAGATAGCCGGAAGGGAACCGACGGCGCAGTGCCACCACTGCGCGGACCGCGACGAGGAAGACACAGCGGAACACACGCTGGCGCGTTGCTCTGGATTCGACGAGCAACGCGCCGCCCTCGTCGCGGTCATAGGAGAGGACCTCTCGCTGCCGCGCGTCGTGGCTACGATGCTCGGCAGCGACGCGTCCTGGAAGGCGATGCTCGACTTCTGCGAGTCCACCATCTCGCAGAAGGAGGCGGCGGAGCGAGAGAGGGAGAGCTCTTCCCTTTCCGCACCGATCCGTCGCCGTCGAGCCGGGGGCCGGAGGCGGGAATACGCCCGTACGTCCCGGCCCCTGTAGGTGGCGGCCTCCCCCCGGTGAAGGTCAAGGGGCGACCTGAGGGGGTGAGGCCGCGCGGCGCGCTACCAGCACTCTAGCGCGCTGCCGTGGAGCGAATAGAGCGACCGGTCGACGGTGTATCGCGTCCCGACCCGGCAGGCTGGTTCTGGTCCAGCGGGGTATTCCGGGACACCAGCGGCACCGTCTGGGCGGCCCGACGGGCTGCCGTACCGAGACGGCCGACGGAGCCTTCGAGGCGAATCGAAGGCTCCGTCGGCCGGGCGTCCTTGGGGTGAGCCGCGCCGTCTGGTTGTAGTGTTGACCGCGGTAGCCCCCCTACCTCATCCGGGTTCTGACCTCGGAGGGGATCGGACGTCGGGTGTAAGAGTGCAGAGGAGTCGTTTAGTGGGTGGGTCCTAAAATCCTTGGGCCCGCGATCTGCTCACAACACCATGCAGACCGTTGAGTCTCACATACCCCGCGCGCCCCTTTTGCGCGGGGACCTCGTAGGAGGTTCGGCCCTCTACCCGAAAAAAAAAAAAAAAAAATTTCTATGAAGGGAACAGTCTCTTTTTTCCCTTAATATCACAGTTTTTAAAATTTAATATGTATAAGCACCGCAAATAGTCGCCTTTTAAACTAAGTGTCGAGGTCATGTATCGTATTTTTGTTAGAGTAATTTTCCTTTTCAGTTAATTTACAAAATAATAATCCTTATAAAAAGAACTAAAAGAATTCCCAAAAAAATCTCGAGACTACTTTTACGAATATCAAATTCATTGCAATACCATTATAAAAAAAAAAAACTTATTTCTTGATATGTCGATGTTTATAAGAATTCAACAAAATCAAAAAACAACCATCCATAACTAAGTTTAGTCCTGAAGAAAATACATAGTGACAAACTTGGAAGGTAAACTTACAGCATTATTGGCTCTTGCACTCACTCCTAAGTAAATATAACTGAACGTTTTTAGCTTTTTTTTACTTCTTGATACTTCTTTGTCAGTGCCATTCGGTGTTCTTTAATGTTACTAGGAAAGTTATTCCTTTGTTTTGTTTACGGAATACAAACAAGTAATTTTCTTTTATTCCCGTGGATAGGTAAATGCTATCATAAGCAACTTAATGTTAATCGGATACCGGAAACCATAGAACAGTACAAAAATGTCAACATTACCACTCACCTTTAAAAATTTGGCCAAAGCCATAGTTGGAAAAACGGTTATTAAGATAAGAACACGATAAAAATAATATTATTATAAGAAGATTAAGAAACTATACATGCATATATGTAATGTAATGTATGTGTAATATGCAATATCATATGTCGTATATCTTTTGTTTAAATAAAAAATTAGGGCTGCTTAATTTCGAAGCGCTGTATCACCAGCTATGTAAACATCATTAAGTAATAAGGAAACCTCAATATCACAATTGAAAATACCGAAACGGGAAAAAAACCATTGCAAACAGTTGCATTTGAATTGGTTTTTTTTCATGTGACAGGTACAAATCCGTCCCTATTTTTATCGTGATTTTACATTGCACCATGGTATAGCAAGCAGTTCATAACATCTACCTCTCGAATCTCATCGAAGTGTCGAAAATCTCAATGTGTTAGTTGTGACATGTAACAAACAAATCGCCTTCATAAAATCATATGTGATCTATTTCATCAATTGATTAGAGATGAAAAAGGATTTCTTTATTCTTTTATTGCATCATGTGAATGGTTTCAATATAGCATATATAATATAGCATATATAAAATTTTTTCACTGTCAAATAATATAACAAACAACATTGAGATTTTTCTTCTCAATCGCGTCACTCTTGACAGAGTGGTCGTGATCGTCATGTAGTGTTGGAAGGAGCCGACATGATACGTCTCGCAATGTCCCGCCATTTCTTTATCACATCAACATTGAGATAGAGATATTATATCGAAATCATAATTGTATAATATTATATAACGGCTGTCCCATTCTTCTAAGTGGGACGCATGATTGCTTTGTCGCTAAAACAGGCACGATGCTGATGCTAACCTGTGGCCTTACAAACGACCAGTAAATTTTGAAAAAATGTTTCCCTATTTTATTAACTAACTTGGCTCAATACTTATCGCAGATTTTTAATGAAACAAATGTCCGTGAGACTCCTATGGGTATATTCAGGCAGTCATAAAAGTACATTCAGCACTTTTTTGATCAAAGAAAAGCATAATATTACGTTTGCTTACATTAACTAAACGATGATTAATAAAATTCTTCATAAACGGTAAAGAAATTATCAAGTTGATTAAAGGTTCCATAGCATGTCAACTGTGGGAATTCCATGTATGCTTCATTACATATTATGTCATGTACGATAATGCTCCGCAATCACTCAATCATTAATCTACACAATAATTATTAATAGGTAGGTATTCGCAGTGTACGAGTATAGTAAAATTGTGTACTTGCCGAAATATTAAATTTTATGATGAAGTTCATTTGAATGTTATATATACGAATAGTAAAACAATAAATCTTATTTAATTGGCGTTTATTAGTTCCGTAAACATACCTAAAATAAACCAATTATACCGTTCATATAACAGAAATTACAAAATGTTGTTTTCAAAAGCAACATGGGTTGTTAGAGTAATTTTATTTCATTCGTTATATTCGTGATCTTGAAATAAATATTTCTTAGAATTGAAATTACCGTGAGCTGGCAACGGGACACGTGGGGTGCGAGGCGGCTAGGACGGGCGGTCACCCATGGCGACGGACTCGCGCGTAGGCGGACCCGCCCCATGTCAGTCTCTTTTGATTATCACTGTTAAGATAACAGAATTATCTGATATTTCTTTGAGTCAACATCTCGGAATAAATTAGTTTCATCCAGTTTAAAGTTACTTTATCTCATAAAAAGACCCAACATCGTATCAAGTGTTTTCAGTGGTATCGTAAAAATTTTGATCGAATCACATTTTTCAAGAACTGGAGGAATCTTTAGAGGTGTTTGTTTGATCAGGTATGTAATAGGAAATTGTATTTAGTTTAGTATTGTAAGTTGGAAAGTTAACAGGAACACTAGGGCGGGAAAGTGAGGCACGAGGCAAATGGGCGGGTGCAGCAGTCTCGCTTGCACAGAATGCACCACCCCCAGCGGAATGCGTTCGGGTTGCAGTCACCGCCGCCGAGCCGTTGAAATAGCTCGCCCACTGCGCCCGTGCGATCCCGCTGCGACGTTACGCGACCTGTAATCAGTTACCAGGCTCACATCAACGCCGAAGAGGTAACTTCTTACATTTTCCTCTACCGCCTACTCGCACCAATTTCAATTTTATATCTCTATCCCGCTTTGATATAGGCGCCAAGTTAAAACGGTTTTCCCTTTTATCGTCGGAATGTGGGAAAGCGGGTTTTGGTGTCTCAACTCTCTCTTTCAATTTGTAAGTCGTTGGTGATTATTGTTGTAAGCCGACGCGTAATTCACGACTCAATTATCACACAAGGAGCTGTTTTCGTGTCATTTCAATGGAGATTTTTTTTACTTTTTAATGAAACACTGGCGCCATGAATTGTTTGCAGCATCTTATCAGTATAGTGTCACAAGTAAAAAGGGTTGCAAAACAATTATTAATACATTATTCTTTAAATTAAATAGGTTCTTACGTTTTTACGAATCAGACACATCGTGGAAATTTTAAAGGTTTAATATCGCGACTATTTCATTCATTAACAAATTCTTCGTCCAAAACTATGAATAGTATTAGTTATGTGAAAACAACTAAGTTAAATCTGACATCAATCGTAAAACTATGTTACACTGTAGAAAATGCTGTACAAAATCCCTATTGAACGAAAACGATTTAATAATTTAGAATTAATCTTAATAAACGTTCTTGGAAATTATTAACACTAAATTTTGTTAGTAATTAATTAATTACAGTGAATACAAAAATTATAAAGTCAATGTATTGAATAATACTGAACACACGAAGAAGTAAATAAAATGAAAACATTGATGGCATAACAGCTGCCGTTTTTACTAAGCGTATTTAAAAATCATTCGTAACGAAAGCTTCGTTCTGGGTACGTATATAGCTTACATATAGTCTACTCGAGGCCGATAGTGTAAGTCAAGAGTATTTTCACGTAAGTTACGTAACAGAGCAATTGGAATACAACCCCACAAGAGCCAAAAGTATTTTATGCAAATGAAATTTGTAAATTAAGTTGGTGATTTCCGGTATGTAAGCGGCTTTCTATCCTTCATTTAAAAAACACATTTCTTATTTTAAAATCAACACAAAATATGCCGACGGCCGATTGTAGTACACATTTTGATTTTAATGTTGTACCAAAAATTATTTCAAATTTCTTGAGATCTACCGAAAGTTCGAGAAAATTAGATGTTATCTCCAATTATTACTCCAATTATTATTACTAAGTACTGTTGCTATTTATTTCTCAATAAAGGAAACAGTTATAAAACACTTTCTTATATCTAGGTACAAAATTTATTCTAAATAGATAAAAAACAGTTTATTAACGATCTACTTTAGTCCAAACAATACGAATACTTTTCTAATAATACGTATACAACAACAAGTCCCGAGAAATAGGTACGTAAGCCGGATTAGCAAAGGAGGACAAAATAAATCGTATACAAACAGTATAAACATAACAGAATTGCTCAGTAAATCGTCCAACGAGTTTTGTAAGTCAATGCCAAATAATACCAGGCGTGCAGAACAGTTGAGGAGGCTTAGTTACAGCTGGTCTCGTTTGCGCTCACGGGTGGGACTCGTATAGCCAGGTCCCCTCGCCTGACCGCGGCCGCGAGCTCGAAGCCGCATCGAGTCCCCAATGAAAATCAGTTTTTCTCGCACCCATCGATAGTTTAAAATTAAACGTCATTCCGGCTGCGGTTAACACTTAATTTGTGCAACGCATAATGTTATTACTTTGCAATTCAATTTATTATATCCCTGATGCGATTGTTGTGATAATAATCGGGGCTCTTAATGAAATTGAAATCCGATAATTTTCAGAGAAATAAAAGATTTTGGTGTGATGAAAATTCAATGGGCTCGGTGCTAATTTGTATATTGGAATTAACAGTGTCCATTAAAATAATCGTAATAAAGTTATTGTTATAACTTAGATTAACAATATTTCATCTTGAGTGGCATTACAGTAAAATTTCGTTGACACTATTGATACTAACCATTGAATTTAAGTAGATTTGTTTGGTACAATTTTTGTTTACTGATGCGTTGGTCAATTTGGCTCATGCTCAAGTCATGTCATGAAACTATACCATTATTGGAATTTAGGCAAACGGCTTTAAGGAAACTACCTAGGTCCGCTTGTAGTGCATAGAAACAATATAAATAATGTTTCTAAATGAATGTTTCAAGTGTATTGGAAATTATAAAATGTCAAGATTTCCAAGATTACTTAATAGGTTTTCTGCCTTACGTATATGAAGATCAAAGCTTCGAAAGATTAGCAGTCTGCTTTACCATTAAAAAATGATCTATTATCTATTTATGAAACTGCTGAAATATGGTAATAAATACTGTTAGATTAAGTTAATAGTTAGTTAAATAGTAGGCTCAGTTGGCAAGAACTACAATAACAAATAAAAATCTTTTATCTGATTTAAAAATGTTCTAATCTTAAATAGTGCATTTTCATTGATTGTAGAGGATGAGGTCTGTACAATTTAATTAGCAACGCAATAATTTGAGAAATAGCGGCAAGACGAGGTATGTATGTATGATGTAGGCACCTTTTTTAATTTAATTACCCTGGTAATAAGAATCGATATTCACAGGCTCTATTTTAGGATTTTTTTATCGGATTATATCATTTATATCGGATTATGTAAAATGTTACCTAAATAAAACTTGATAAAAGCGGCACTAAAGATACATACAAACGTCAGCCTCTCGTATATTGGCTCCAATTTTTTGTGTGTAACCTCGAACCCGTTTGAGATATCGAGATGAAACAAAGCGTAGGTCATGTTTCGAAATTCTCGCTATGATATCTGCACTTTTTATTGAGCTATATTTTTGTACCATTTTTATAACAAAAATGTTAATATTACAAATATTTCAGAATGTTCACCTAGGATTTTACCTGAGTTTTGCTTAATGATACAAATTATATTTCCTTAAATGTTTATATAGGTTGTATTTGTACAGTTTTAACAGAGTATAAACGATTTATAAAGATGCTCATAAACATTCATAGGCTATGAAACTGGAATCAACACAGCAGAGGTGTCGTATCCAATAAATCCACTGGATAGATTATATCGAGCCTTTACAGAGTTTATCCGGATTTGCATATTAGATTGTTTCGTGAATTTTGTAAACGGAGTGCCGGCGGCTGGGACCGTCGCCTGTCCGCCACAATCGGGCGGCGGGACCGACGGATCAAAGTTTTACAGACGGTACCGTACCGTACAAACTTTATCCCAATTAAATCGATCGCACTCCGAGGGACAAGTCGAATTCTTATCGGCATCCTTAAATCTGCGTTTTCCTTTTCCGTTCAATGAAGTTTTACATATTTTCTTGATACTCAAAAACTTCGAACCGTACCAGTGGCTAGGCTTATTTGAGTATTTTTATATTATTTTGTTGTATTCGAAGACGAGCTCATGGGTCACTTGATATAAAGTGTAGTATTATATTTTCGTCGACTTTCGCGAGTCGTGTGAATAATTAAATCTACTCTTACGGTTTAATCTCGTATTTATTTTCGTTTTATTATTTCCGACGTTTCATAGAACAAGGTTAATTAAACACTTGTTCATAGCCACGAAAACTGTAAAGTATTCGAACATTCAGAAATAATTTAATTATAATTACGAACGCAAAATTAAACTGTTTAAATAGTTTAATTATAGTATGAAGTGTAAACCAGAGATCATAGACAACATAACCTGAAAGGTGAGCTGCTCGAGATATGAGTTCGAAATCTCAAATTTGAATTTTATAAGGGCTTTTCTATTCTTCAATCCGCAATGCATAAAACGCTTGTACCTACCCGTGTGGGCTTACAATGCACTCTGCCCCCGGATATTATGCATATTTATAAATTTTACGGGTTAAAAACGGGAAAATAATATGTATAAATAATTTTCACCAATGGCTACCATTATGATGGTGTTATTCCTGCATGAGATTGTTTAGTAAAATGCAACTAAAAAATATGGATCTCGTCAAAATCTGATTAGACATGCTGTGAGCCCGAAACAATCATATAAGCGCGAAGGTGGTGGTGAATTACTGGTGCGCGGTCGGGCGCGCACGCACAGCCCGCGGCCGCCCGACGCGGCTTCAGTGGGTAAGACCTCTTGTGAGTCCGCGTGGGTAGGTACCACCACCCTGTCTATTTCTGCCGTGAAGCAGTAATGCATTTCGGTTTGAAGGGTGGGGCAGCCGTTGTAACTATACTTGAGACCTTAGAACTTATATCTCAGGGTGGGTGGCGCATTTACGTAGTGGATGTCTATGGGCTCCAGTAACCACTTAACACCAGGTGGGCTGTGAGTTCGTCCACCCATCTAAGCAATAACAAAAATACAAAAATTAAAAACCCTCAATAACTTTCCTGACGAGGCGTATAAAGGCAACTCGCTCTCACTCTGCTCTTTTTCATAGTAATGAACAGCAACCGTGGAACAGTGGGTAATGTTTCGTATCCTATACTGTTTCTTACTCAACGGGGTATTCCGGGGATACAAGAGGCATCAATTCGGAGGTCTCCGACTACCTGCCGACATAGAGGGCGTACAGTTTTGTCGCCTATGATCATCACTCTAGCGGCCCATAGGACTTGGCCCTGGAACGACCTACCGGATTAGTTTAGTAGGTTAAACTATCTCATAGCACCTCAAAGCCCACAACCAATGGGGTAGTGAATTGACAATTTAAGTTTCTAGCCCAAATTAAGGCATTCTGTATAAGAGTTATTGTGTGGGTTTAGTAAATATCTTAGTACCTTAAATAACTTATTAATCATTCATCTTGAGGCCTGATGTCGTAGTCACGATTTCATTGAAATAACAACGATCTTACTATTCTAATCAAAATTCATGACCTTATCACAGCAGAACCAGATAGGACAATACCACCAGTGCATATTAAAACAAAAATAATATGAATCTGCAAGTTTGATTTTATTTCAAGATATTTTTTCTTTTATCGTTAAAGTTGACGTTTACCTAATGACATTTACATTGCTAATTCAATATTTACAAAAAATATTGTT